CAGAGACACCCTAGTTAGAGGTAACTATGACCCCAGATCTCAGGTTAAGGACAAGGTGAAAACAACCGCCATGAAGTTAGGGCACGTTCCTCTCTGCAGATGGGCTAAGGACAGCCACAGGCAGACCACCCTTCGCCTCCGTGCTGTCTCCCATCTTCCAGCAGACGTTCCTATCTGGGGCCCACCTTCCTGCCCATGTGGCACCCCCGCCTTCCTTCTACACCACGTGGGAACCCATCACCCCAGCAGATGTTGTGGGCTTCCAAATGGTTTAAGAGTTTGGAGGTTGGGTATCTGTACACCCGTGTTTACAGCAGCATTATTCACAATAGCCAAAAGGAAGAAGCAGCCCAAATGTTCATTCAATGGGTAAATGGATAAACAAAATGCAGTATATACATACAACTTGATGTTATTCAGCCTTTAATAAGGAAGGAAATTCGGACATGCTACAATGTGGATGAACCTCGAGGACATCTTGCTAAGTGAAATAAGCCAGCCACAGAGGGACTAATTGTGTGTGATTCCATTTATGTGAGGTGCCTAGAGTAATTAAATTCATAGAAACAGAGAGTAGACTGGTGGTTGCCAGGAACAGGGGGAGAAGGGACCATTAGAGGTATTGGTTAATGGGGAGAGACTTTCAGTTTTGTAAGATGAAAAGAGTTTTCTGGAGATTGGTTTCACAATACTGTGAATGCTACTCAACAGTACACTTAAAAGTGGTTAAGATGGTACATTTTATGTTATGGGTATTTTGTCACAATTTAGAAAAATGTTTGGATGCTGGGTGTTGACACCTTCAGACATGCCGCCTGTCAGGGTCCACCATCGGGGGAGCAGTTCTCTCTGTGTCCCGAGGGGGTGCCCTGGCCTCTCTGCACAGCCACCAGCACACGGTTTGCTCGCCCACCTCAGTGGCCTGGTCAGGGTCGCTTCTGCCCAGAAGGAAGACACCTTTTCTAGTGTGTACAAAGGTGCCATCGGTTCCCCAGCTGCCCGCGGGCTGTGCCTGCCCAGAGGGTGCCTTCCCCACATCCCACGGGCACCTGCGAGGCCGGGGTGGCCCCGCGTGTCTGTGTTCCTCCCAACCACGTGGGGAGCTGCCCAGAGCAGGGAGCACACTTGCTTTTCTCTGTTTTTCCAACTGTTCCTTCATATAGTTAGCATTTAACAAATACTCGTGGGAAGGAGGAGAGAGGGAAGGCAGAAAGGAGGGAGAGGGAAAGGAATGGAGGGATGGGCAGAGTGGGTGCATGGAGAGGCAATAAAGAAGCTTTTTCTGTGGATAAACACGGACATATCTCAATCTCTGGTTTGTGCACATCCAGGGTCCGGCAGAAGGAACGCCTGTTTCGGTATAGTTTGTAGGGTAATAATATGGGTGTAGTAATTTATAATTTTAATTTGAACACTTCACCTAAAATGTCATATGGTGTACTTGAGTACAATATTGCTATGTTACAAAGTTACATGCTTGTAGTTTTGTAATAAAAGATTTTGTAATAAAAAGGGGGTATTATTTGTGCCAGACCCCCTCTATACGTGGCCTGAGAACCAAAGGGATTCTTCTGGAGTTTCTGAACTTGCCAGGGACTCCTGCAGTTTTATCTTAGGACTTGACATGTTCTTCCTTCATCTCACTACCAGAATTTTGAACGCTGCAGTAGGCCAGGGGGGTATTCCAGGTCCTCCCCTGCCCTTGGCATTTCTGAGCCCTTGCCCAGTCCCTGCTGTGAGCAGCATGGGTTCTCAGCTGCCCCTGGTGGTCAGTGTTCATGGCAAACGCCAAGCAGCTGCAGAGAGTCAGACTTCCAACCCCCCTTGTCAACCTGGCTCCTGCTGAGGCCTTTAGAGACAGGTGCTCCCCCATTGCTTCTCAACATCAAGTGCAATAAGCTCAAAAAGCCCCATCCTGTGGAGATAAAGTGTATTTCTCCTTCCCACTGCCCCCACCCCTGTACCCTCTTCTGTCTCCCCCTCCTGGGCCTCTGGGGCTCACAGCTCCCGCCCAGCCCCGCTCCGAGGCTTCATAATCTGCAGAGACCGTTCCCAGCAGATAATGCACTCAGGTCAGGTGGAGGGGAGCTTTGTGGACTTGCAGAGCTGCAAGCCTTTCCTAGCTTTTTGCCCACTGTTTGCTCACCTGTCATTTCAGCTTTGTGACAAGGCTGACAAGAAAAGGGGGGAAAAGACACATTTTTGGCAGGAAAGGTAATTTATTGGGAGGCTGCTGGCTATAAACAGGCCCTTTCGGTTTTCGATTGCAGCCCTGGGCCGGCCACGCGGCTGGGTCCCTGTTAATGCATAACCAGCGAGCGCCCCTTGTGAGGCAGGTGCAGAAACGTGGCTTTGCCTGGGTCTCTCGTCCCATTCCTCCACTTCCGTTGCCTTGTCCTTTGCTCCAGCACAAACCTGCGGGAAAGGGAAAACCAGGAGACCTGCTCTCCCTTCAGCCACTGGAGCCTCCACCTGCCCCCAAAGGGCCTGCTCCTCCTGGCCTTGGTTCTCCAACTGTGGGCAGGAGTAGCTGCCAAACACAGATGTGGTTCAACTCATGACCTCTAACCCTGGAGAAGGACAGGACTAGGGTCAGGCTGGGTAGCTCCATAATGTGGAAAGGAAAGTCCAGCTTGAAAATGAAGGGGTGATGGCTGAGAGCTGAGTTCCGCCAACTTGTCAGCACCTCATGCACAACCCCAATCATACCTCCCAGGAAAAGAGGAAAAGCCATGCGCCAGTGCGAACTGCACATCAGCTGGGGAGGCGGGTGATGAAAGACTCACATTTTTAGAGGAAATCAACCGTTTAGAGTTTGGTTTTTCAGAAGAATATGCCAAGAGTGAGAAGTCAAAGAAAGTAAAGCCATGCAGCTGTCTTGAAGCCCCATCCCGCGTGCTCAGGACAGGTGGAGGCAGTGAGAGCCTCAGGAGAGGAAGGGGGCTGTTGGTCCCAGCTCAGGGTGACCAGCTCCTGGAGCACTCACCACGGGCTTGGAAAGTGATGGCAGCAGGGGGCAGCAGAGAGCCCAAGGGAGTGGAAGGCTAGGGGAGGGGTCTCTCTAGGCTTCCTTGGGTAGGACCTGTCTGTCCTTTCCTCATGGACTTCCTCCTATTGATGGCCCATTTTCCCCATCTCTTTCCTCCTCTTTCTTGTTCCTTTATCTTCTTGTCTTTCTTAGAGGCCGTACTGCTGGGGTCACACCCACACCCGTGAAAACTATGTGGTGAGTCATGACATCTTGGAAAACCCCTGTCTCCCTGGAGAAGCCCCCACTTTACAAATGTGGTGTGATGTGATGGACAGTGACTGAGGTGTGCCTGGGGGTCACTGAGAGCCTGTCTGAGTGCCATGGCCAAAGCCATGACCTCAGTTTGTTCAGATGGCTGAGACAGCATTGTGGGCAGGACAGAGCCTGACCTGTTGTCTGGATGAGCCTCTTGTAGTCTATTGCCTGCCCCTTGGCTCCAAGTGATAGGAAGAAGAGAAAATCAGTGCCTTTCTTGTTAAGGGTGCCGATATTGCTGCACAGCACTTTGGAATAGACTCAGCAGGCAAAACACTGTGTAAAATAACAACAGAGATACGGAAGCCATCAGCAGTTGTGTGCATGTCACAGAACAGCCCTTGGGAACAGTTGAAAACATAGGCCATTCAGAGAACAGGCCTGGTTGAAATAAGTTCCAAAATGGCACCAAATCCAGGGTGAACTTGGTGATTTCCAGAAAACATTTTCTTGAAACATGACATACCTACAGAAAAGCACACAAACCAGCTGGCTGAACGCCCACCAGGTGAGCCTGCCTGTAGCCTGTGCTCAGATGAAAAAACAGAACATGACCTGCCTCCTCCAGGGCCCAAGGGTAACCACCATTCTGACTTCAAATACCACAGAGGAGTTTTGCCTGTTTTTGAATTTTATGTAAAATGAATCATACCACGAGCTCTCTTTTGTGTCTACCTTCCCAGTTCAACAGGATGCATGCGCGGTTCACCACACAGGGGCTCCTAGTTGTCGTTCATTCATTCTCATTGCTGAATTGTGTTTCACTGCTGACGGTATCGCCATCAACTTACCCATTCTATTGTTGATGGACCTGAGGGTTGTTCACGGCGTGGGTCACTGTGAGTAAAGTCCACGTGTACGTGCTCTCAGTAGATGCGTGTCCATGTCTCTGTCAGTGTACAGGGGGATGGAGACTGGTCCCGACTCAGAGGCCGGGCCGGGGGACCTGTAAAGTTCTTCTTCCCTCTGAGTTAGGTAAGCCGTGAGTGTGAGAAGGGAATGTTTGTACAGTATTGACTTTTTTTTTTCGATTAAAAGCTCCAACATGTATTGTTACAGGTAGGTGTTATTGCCTTCATCCCATTTACTAATCTATACCTTCATCCCATTTACTAATAAGCCTTTTCAAGTAACTTTAAGTTAGTAATTTTACAATGAGGTACAGAGCCCAACCAGGAGGGGACCGAGTATGCTCCAAATTAGAAGGGGAGTGCATGGCTCATCCGTGACACTTCCTGTGGAGCACCTGTGTTCCAGTGCACAATTAAGTGTTTCTTCCCGTGCATCTGAATGGGACCTTTTGGATTCTCTGGCTGTGGCAGGTTTAGTCTCCTAATTCTAACAGTGTGTCTGTTGCCTTGATGTCTAGGAGTTGATCCAAGCATCCAGGCACCCCTCTTGTAGACCTTAACTATGTATATGACAGCTTCAGGGAGCTGACCAATCTGAGCTTAGAACACTTGCTTAAAGGGGAGACTGCCATTCCAGCATAAACTGTCATTACTCCTACTGCAGAAACTGTTTTCATTCTGGGGATGGTGAGTCCTGGAAGATCATGGCCAAGAAGCAGATGTCCTCAGTGGCTTCTTCTTAGAGTTAATCCCCAAGAGAGAGCCAACTGGCCACTTGCTTTTTATCACATTTCTAATAGGTGCTCCATTTCCTCAAAGGCTGTTACAAAATCATTCACTTGACTGTTACATAAGGCCTGCTGTTCCAGGAACTGGGCCCTCTCTTCTTCTTTCATCTTCAACTTTACTTTTAAGGCCTATAATTCCTCCATCTGCTTTTTGGCTGTTTCATTAAAAAGCTTCAGTTCACCTTGCAAAGTTTCTAACAGCAACATGGAGTCCGTGTGGTCCGTGCTGGATTCTTCCTGTGATTCAGCAGTTTCACTGTTTGGATTGAGGCCCTTGCTCTCCAAAATTGCCAAACAGTTGTCCTGAAACTTCTCCAGCAGCTCCACCTTTTGGGTCAGGTCCTTCAGTTCTCCCTGAGTTTCAGTCAATTTCTGGTGCAACTGCTTGTTGATGGCCTGTAAGAGCTACTTCTTATCCTTGAGTTCTTCCTCTGATTTCTGCTTACTCAATAGTTTGTAGCTCTTTTTGACGTTCCTCTTGATGGCAGTACCTGCGGCTTTTACCTGCCTGTCTCGTCTCAGTTTGATGATTTTCATAATATCATTCTCTGAAACTCCTGGATGAAGAATTCTGGAAACATCGACTTCTTTAGACTTAACAGGTAATAAACTCTTAGAAGCGGCTCGAATTTGTGTGTCTGCAGGCGGGCCGCCACTCAGCCCTGAGGGGGGCTGCAGTGTGTACGCTGTCTTAGCCCCTCTGGTCATCCTAACGAGGTGGCAAGGCTGCGCCCCAGGTGCCTGCTGCTCTGGCTCGCAACTCTGGTCCTTAGAATTCAAAACGCACTCCGTGGCAACCGCCACACTGCCAAGCAGATCTGCAGCCTCTAGTATTGACTTTTAATGAAAGTGAGTATAAAAGCTGGCAGAGAAAGGACTGACATGCTACTGAAATGCAGTGGGATGGCCCTTAAAACTCCCACTGCTCACACCAAGTGAGCCACAGATGGGGCTGGCTGCAGAAACAGTGTGCGTTGGGGGGGCAGCTGGGATGCAGTGCTGTGGGGAGGGTGTTGGGGGCCTGGAGAAGGAAGGAGGTGTCAGTGTTACTGGGCCAGATCACTCCTGGGCATTCCTCTGAGCCTCCATCTCTCTCTCTGACCTCCCTCACCCTCCCAGGCCACAAGGAGAGCAATTTCCATCACACTGGTCCGGCTGACTCTTCCTCTCCAGCACCTCTGTGAAATCAGCCTGTTCCCTATGTGCAGTGTGATAGTTCAGGGCTCCCATCCTGTGCCAAGTTCCACAGAGGAACTCCTCACTGTCTGCTAATGAAAAAGGAGCAAGTTTCTAGTGGGAAGGGTACCTCTTTTTACAAACATCCGGTGATAGCTGAGGGTCAGAGGAAGAGGGTGGTGCAAGGAAGAGAGAAGGAAACGCAGACATGCTTCACAGGTGAGAGCTGAGCTCCGCCAACTTGTCAGCGCCCCAAGTGCCGGCCCATCACACAGGGGGAACCTGACCACGTTAAAATTCAGCATTCTGAAAAGCAACCAGGTTGTATGGCATCCCACAGGGGTTTCCTTCTGATGTCCAGTGACAGCTGCCCACGGGTAAAGCCAAAATTTAGAGCCACTGTAACATGTTTCTGATGCGTGAGTCCTGTATCCTATTCAAACCCATCAGCTGAGCAGGCAGTGGACAAAAACAGAGAAAGCTAAGGCCACTTTGGGACCCCTAGCTGAGGGCCAGCCACTCTCCCTGTTCCCAGCAGCTAGCTCTAGACCAATAAAGACTCTTCTTGGGCTGCAACTGCTAGGAAGAACTGCCTGTCTCCTGGAGGTGCTGCTTGCTGTCTTCCCTTGGAAGGGCCACACAGGGTGGCTCACAGGTAGGCGACATTGTGGCCAGTGGGGAGAGGGTGGATTTAAAGACAAGACCATTCTGTACCCATATGAGGAAAGTGACAGGTTCAGGTGGGTTCTGAGGAAGAACCTTGCAGTGAGGCGCCGTGCCCCCTTCTCAGGTGAATGTGTCCAGATCCTCTCCGAGGACAGGGGACCTACGACCTCTCAGGGGATGCAGGCCTCCCCCCACCCCCAGCTGCATCTGCATTGCAGCCCTCGGACCGTGAAGTCTGTGGGTCACGGAGGGGCCTGCTCTGGACTCCTGCTGCCCTGCAGTGCTGGGCCTGCCTGCCACAGGATATGGACCATCACTGTCAATCTCCAAGGCCATGCTGACGTGTTGATGAGACCGGCACTTGTGCTCAGCAGCCCCCTTACTCCAGGGAGCAGAGAGACGTCATCTAATTCATCCACTCGGGCCTCCCAGCTGTAGTTCACTCCGTTATTATTTTATTGTTATCCCTGGCAGCCACAGGATTAATAAAATTTGAGGGTAATAAAAGAAATCACAGAGGAAACTAATACTGTCAACTATGTCATAAAAGGGAGGAAGCAGGCTTTGTTTATAATGACAAATTCTCCTTGTGTCATGAAGCTCAGGAATCAGGCCCCGAAGGAAGGGACCTCGAGGTGCCTTTCGGGGAGCAGAGGGCACACTGGTTCCAGTTAGGTCCCTCTCAATGGTATTCAAACTGCACAGCTCCCCTCCAATTCATGGGGGGCAGTGGGGGGTGCAGAAAGAGGAAGGGTGTTTCTGGTCAACTCTGTGTCTAACACTTCTCACAGCCCCACCTGGAAGAAGATGCTTCCTTCACTATCCCCTCCCTCCACTCTGTTTACAGTGGCCACGGCCCAGGCTCTGGAAATGCCTGCTCATCCTCACAGGGCCTGGAGTCCCACAGCTGCTCCTTTCCATGCTGGACTCCCAGCCGTCCTCCTGTCTCCTCACAGAAGCCAGCAGGGTGCCCAGTGCAGTCCGGTCTGTGAAGCTTCCTGGGTTGCAATGCCCCTGCATCCTGCTCTGTCCCTTTGGATTTCCTGAAGCTCCCTGGGGTGCGGGGTGCTCCCTCAGCATCTCCTGATGGCTCCTTTCACCCCCCTCTGCATCGGTCTGCACAGTGGGTTCTGAGAAGGTCATGGGAAGGCCCTGTTCCCAGGCCGGCCACATAGCAAGCACCAGAGCTGAAGTGTGTCTGAGAATTCTCAACTGAAGGCCATGAGGCTGTAGAAGAGGTTCGATGCCAGCACTCGGTCAAGCTCCATGTCCTTGTCACTGCATGTGGTGGGAGTGGCTTGGAAAACACACACAGAAGGAGCAGAAAGTAGCTTTTGAGCCACTCTTGTCCTCTTGTGCTGTACAATTACTGACCCCAATCATAACAGATATGGTAATGAGGGACCCTTAGAGCTCGGTGTCCCTCACGGTGACATCTCTATATTTGCAGGAGCCCTGAGCTACCTGCAGTGATGTAAAGGAAAGGGGAGCCCAGCCCCAGGCTTGGGGAACTAACTTCAAAGATAGCACACAGTCACCTCAGATCAAAGACAATGTCGATGCGCAGTGTAGGTGGGCTCTGAGCACCGCAGTGTGCGTGCCGAGGGTAGGCAAGGGCAGACAGCACTCGACAGAGCTTGGAAGAAGGGGAAGGATCCTTTAGGCCAAGAATTAAAAGGATGGTCTAGATAGGGGGGCTGGCTGGAAGGGCAGGGCCTAGGAAGCGGCCAGCTAGGGGAGGGGGTGAGAAAGCACACAGTGGGGGACAGAGATGAGCAGTCACCCTGTGGTAGAGAGTGGCTCTTCTGTAAAACCCGGTTAGTTCATGGGGAGTCATGTTGACAGATGGCCCTGGAATACTCCCCGGCTTTATTTAGTTACTAAGAACTTTCTGATGGTTTTCAAGAAAGCTAAGAGGTGTTTCTGATGAAAGTCAACTTGCTTTTACAATACGTGCATCAGAAGGCTCTGGCCGGTCTCAGCTCCCGTGTGATCTAATAGGGGGAGGAAGATGGGAAAGCCATAAGGAAGAGTGAGTCTCAGAATGGGAAGTGCGACCGGCCCAGTGGCTCCCTGAGCAGAGTCCCCGAGGAGCAGAGCTGTGCCTCTTTGCCTCTTCATCTGTGAGGTTCTGCTCTGGGTCTGGGCTCCCTGGGCCCCAGCTTCATTTAAGAGCTTTCTCCAGAAAGAGACTTGGGGTGTTCAGTGCCTGGGCCTCTCAGCAGCTTGGGGAGAGGGGTGCTAACAACCCAAATGCCCCAGTTTCCCAAGGGGAGCCTGACTCTCATATGCTGCAGTGAGGGCTGAGCTGGGGCCCACTGGCCACCTATCAGCATGCAATCCAAACACCAGCCAAGGCCCCTTGGACAGTAATAAACCCAGCCAGCTGCAAAAACAGGCCAGAAAGCTAGAGGAATACAGCCCTGCCCATGTAATGATTAACTGGCAGCAAGGGGGCCCTGGAGGTCACAGTGATAATGAGAAAGTTTCCCTGAGCTATCTCAAGTGCAGAGGGCCTGGGGAGGGGCCCTGGTTGGCGCCTGACTCCCGGACAAACGATTCCTGCCCCTCCAGGGTGTGCTCATTCAAGGACCAAACACTTCACCTCCCTATGGGAACAGGGGAACTGACATCACAACCCCGGCCTGGTAAAGTACACGGTAAGGACGCCAATAGGGGCGTCTTCATAGGAGGCGGCTCTTCCAAAACATGAGACCGATAAGACCTTCCGCAAAGATAGAGGATTAGCGTTTATCTTTACTGCCTGGCACATCCTAAGACACTGAAGGCCGCTCTACTTGAGTGAGACTTGGACAGGATTTTCAGCAGGACTTTCTAGTCTGTGATTTTTTGGTACTTTCCCATCTTGCAGTGGAATTCTCCAGTAATTTTCTTCTGGAATTCCTAAACAACTTCACATGCAAAACTCACGTCTCCTTTAGCCCCTGCTGTGTGTCTACTCTGGTGCTCAGCACAGAGCTCCGAAGACTTCTTTCACTGGGGAGGCAAGGCCAACACAAAGGAAAGAAGTAAAAAAACAAAACAAAACAAAAAAAGCCAAGGACTGTCAGATGGCAAAGGGTCAGTGAAACCTCTCAGTGTTCTAGGAAATCACGAGGCCAGCTGGGGAGTAACAGGGTCTCCCAATTTGCAGACAGAAGTGAAGACACAAAGAAGTAACTCACTCAAGGGCACGGGGTTGTCAACAATCGAGATGGCGCTGTTAGCTGCTAACCCAGCTGTGGCTCCTGTACCTTCCACTGAACTGCACACCACTTAGTGGTGAATGCATCCGCCAGCAGGGGCCCAGCGCACACACATTCCCACACTGTCACCCCTTCATCTTCAACGCCACCACTGCCTCCACATGGAAGGCGACGTTAGAAGCATCATTTCTACCTCATACTGAAGCCAGGAGGCTTTTCTCACACTTTTTAAAGTCTTCCTCTAGAAAAGGAGCCAAGTGTGGTTCCTTGAAAACGCCGGCACTGATCCTGACAGAAGCGCCCAACCCGAGTCACACAAAGTTGTCCCGGGATATCATCAAACACCGACGTCTGCCCTGGGGGAGCAGGGAGCTGAAGGAAGGCAAGCGTCCAGTTCCGGAATCTTCTTACTTTCAGGAGGCCAATCACCGAGCAACTGTCTTATATTCTTTTATTTGTTATCTGATTCATCAAGGAACTTCTATTAAGACACCCCCTTGAGTAAACAGCTTCCATTTCCAGTCAGTGTCTACTAACCTAAGTCAGTTTTCACTTCTTTCATGTGTGTGTGATAACCCTGACCCACCTTTAAGTGTGTTACACTTTAAAGCATCCACAGCGCTGTGAGCTCCTCGTGAAAATGACACCACCACCTGTACAGTAAGGATTTTTGAGAAAAAAGGTCAAGTTTTCAGATCAAATTATTAGTTTACAAGAAATACAGGAGGAGGGAAATTGAAACGGCACTCAGGCTTGTGGCCAACCGGGTCCAGAATGCCGGACACTGCATCTCTCAATCCCTGTCATAGCTGGGTGATGGGTAAGGGGTGGGGGGGGGTGGGTGGGAATAGGGGAGTTTCTGTATAATTTGCTTTGCTTTTGTGAATTTAATGTTTATAGTAAAGAGTTAAAAGTATCTACACGTGTTTTGCACATACACATGTACACAAATCCAGAACAAGATCAATTCTGACACCTCCCGATAACCCATTGTAATGGACAACAGCAACGACAAACATCTGCAGAACCAAACCATCCACCTCGCTCTTCTTGCACCTCACCTCCCTGCTGATGTCAAGGTGAGGCTCCTGATGCGCTCCTGGATGGTCTGGTTAAAGGCCCATCTCCAAGCCTCCTTCCCCTGAGGACCATGAACTGGCACCACTCCTGGCCACAAAGCAT